ATGGCAATTAGCAGGTCAACTTAGATGCGGACCATTCTATTAACTGCATACACTTAACAAGAACTTTGAGACCTACAATGAGTATTTCAAACAGGGCCTGCAAGAATCGGGAGTCAGAGTTACAACTGACGAGGTAATGGTGCCATTTAAGGTGAACTTGCTCCCCATCTAGATTCCGCAAGATTTAGAGAGACACTGAATTGAGGGACTCCTTCAGAACTACACCCGTATTGTGCCTGCGGATGCCTAACTCAGATCTTCGTCTAGAAACCAAACAGAGCTATGAGGAACTAATAGACTTTCCTATAGTTTCGTCATATTCGATTTTCTGACATAAGCAATAATGCAGAAAGGAAGAGGCATGCCTTTTCCTACGGCAAAACTCGAAATTAAAGCTGCGCTATGGTATTGTAAAAACAATCAGTTCGATATTTATCCGTCTAACACTAAATCCACCTCTACAGGAATTGAGTTTGCTTACGAGACGACGATTGATGGACAGCGCTGGACTTGTCCGAACTCAGCGAAGCCCGATGAACGCACACCGTGAACCAGTCTGATCCCCGCTCTGGTCCAGGGCGTCTTCAGCACAGTCTGTTGTTGAGCCACGCCACTCCACGTCTCAAAGGTTGTTTACATTGGTCAACCATCGTGTATACCTGATCGCAACCGACATGACACGGAGTCCGTGGATCAATGGTTAGAGCACTGGGCTTCTAACTAACAGGTCGCGGGATCGAGTTGCAGGGGTTGTCTGGCCGACGACGGTCAATAAATCAGGAATGGCAACTACAGTCTGTCTCCCTTGTCTTTGTCGGTAATGCTAGTCTTCCTATATTATGCGCCGCTATGCGGTGACAGGACTCGCTAGAGAGCCCCAAGCCACAAGGGGACGAGTGAGTTTCGTAACGCGATGGCTGAGTGCCCCTGAGTGCGCCTTGTAGGACGGAAGATGGATAGACCAATTCATCCACTGGTTTATCGTAGAAAAAGATATGCAGAGTTCATTCTACGTTCTGAAATTAACCATCTTGATTCGCAAACGGGGTTCCGCCTAGGGTCATAACTCACTGTTCTCAAGAAAAAATGTAGCAAGCAGAAATTAAACAACTCCCAAATGAGTACCCCCTTACTTTGTATGTCAGTGCATGCGGCATCAAGAGTCAAACACCATGGTCGCCCAAGCGCCAACTAAAGCCACAGCAAGCCCTCTCATAGGTGAGAAATTTGTCTGATCTTGTAACAAGACAGGTGGAAAAACATCAAACGCAAGTAGCGCACAAAACCGACGAATAGCTTGCACGCACAACTTGTGTATCCTGTTGCAAAAGAAAAAGTGTGATCTATCAAACCCATTGCGGCAAGTGGGATGAAGTCTACTGCGTTCAGGTGAGAAAATCTGCCCCCCATTCGTATAAATAAAAGGCAGTTAGTGACCAGGGACAAAACCGCATATATCAGATGGTCATACGCACACATTGGACGCGTATTTGTACGAAACAGAACTCACATTGTTGGTTCCTGCCCTAAAAAGAAAGACTGCAGATTCTTGGAGACAACGCACTCAGGTGAAACATGCATAAATAGGAATATCAACTTGGATATCTCACGGAATACTCACAAAGACAAATACAGACGAACGCAGTTAGTCCAGTCAGGGTGAGTAAATGCTATAGAGTGGCACTTGTTAGGCAAGGTTAGATTGCTCATTTCTGTGCCTAGTCTCTGCGTCTGACAAGTAGATGAAGGATTATTCTCGAAAATGTACACACTGCAATGAAAGTTGTTTTATTGGCAAAACAGTTTATTATTTTACTATATATGCATATGTGCGCAAGCATTGAAGGATGTACCTTCCAAGAAATGAACTAAGCTCAAGTAAGCTCTCTAGGAAATACAGGAAATAATTTTCGTAAATTTTCGATGATTTTTTTCCCAGGCGCAATAAATGCGCAAAACAGTCCGAAGAAGTCAATACTGGTCTGCTTATGGCGATGAACGATTTTTATCACGTGAAAAAATATCTGTCTCATTTTCTATCCAACAAAAGCCAAGAATCTCTCAGAACCGTATATTCCGACTACCGTATATCGATACATCGAATAAAACGCAATATATAAAAAGAGAGGAGGAAATGACAAAGACGACATTAAATCCAAATTGGGTGACAGCCTGTAGCAATCGCTGATTGGCTGAAACAGAACAGCATTGGCTTTTACAGATACGCTTGAAATTCTGACTGTTCTATCCATTTGACTGTCCACCGTCCTTATCGACGATTTCCATCGTTGCCTCAGAGCAGGGTGGGCGCAGACTTGCGCGTGAATTAGCTTGTGGTGATAGTGGACTTGGACTGCATCTAGCGCACTCTCTCCCTCCTCGCCCTCCTAAGCCCGATGTCAAGTCAGAGTCAAAAGGACGAACGACGGGATTGGGTACAAGAGAAAGCGCGGCGTGAGCTTGTGCCTTACTATGGGTGCACAGTCCAATAACGCGTACCATACACAAATTTGCCCCTCCCCTCTAGTTGCGCAGAGCTCCCGCGGGGCCTGTTCGCCGCACGACTAACGACGATCTGGGGAGCCAGTGTCGAAGGATTGCAGAAGAAAGTTTGTAAGCTATCCCAAAGAATTTACCTGACCTCATCATCCGTTATGATTGTAGGCGCTCACCGATCTCCTTACGGGAGTTACTTGCCCCGTTGCGGGCTCGATATAGAGCCCCGTAGGCAGCCCAATGGCGACTGGTAGTATACGCAGATGGAGACCACCGACAAAGACTGGACTGGTCATTTCTGATTTGTTGTTTGTCGTCGGCCAGCCAGAAATGACCATTCCGATGTACTTCGTTGTTATATGTGTATACATCTATATGTGCGGGAAAACGGGCATCCCAATCGCGTTACGGGACTCACTCGTCCCGTTATGCCTTAGGGCTCTCTCGAGCTCCCAGGTGTTCTACATTTCGGGGTTGGGTTTGGTTGGCTGACGACGGCTTATAAGCTAGAAATGGGCGTTCTAGTCTCCCCTGTCTTCGTCGGCAATGCTATCCTGCCCGTATCACGCGCCGCTGCGCGGCTGCTGCTTGGGCTCGAGAGATAGAGCTCTAAGGCACAACGGGACACGTGACTTCCGTAAAATGATCGGTGAGCGCCCGTCTGCCATTATATATGCATGTATAACGCTGGGATGATATTTCCTCTACCAGGTAGGGGGACATGTCTAGAGCTCCATTCAAAGCACTGTTAAGCAATCTGATAGCGACCAGTAGTGCTGCAGAAGTGCGACGAAGACAAGGGAGACTGGGGTGATCATTTCTGCTTTATTTACATTTGTTAGTCAAGAATCTCGTATTATCCACGTCTAGATTTGAGTATAGCTTGCTCACGCCTACTAACGAGCCAGAAAGGGTCATTCCAGTCCCCGTTGCCTTTATCGGTATTCTGCCTCCATGCGAGACTGCCAGATTGAGTCTGCGGGCGTAAGTTGGCGAGATTATCCCCAAAACTGACTGGTGAACGATGCTCCTACGACGACCAGCGTGTAAGCCCTAAAGATATAGTCGGCTATTTAGATGGCAAGGAGCCGTCAGCAAGATTCCAGGCGGCACATACAATGTTGCGTACTGTGGTTAAACTCGAAAATCTGCTTCTACACGTATACATGAATATCGGTTTATAGAAAACATGTACATAAATATTCTTTCTTAGATTCATTTGGTGGAAAATTGCATTGTTTTCGAACTGCGTGCCTGATGAACGGGTACCTTTTGGTTTTAAGAAAGTGTGTTATTACGGGTTTCCTAAGATCGTTAAATTCGCCTTTATACAACACCGTAACTGTCTGTTTATAAATGCTGCATATGAGGTATACAAAATGGTCAAAATCCATTGCAGAATTTTCCGAGCTCTATGCAATGCCTTTGCAACAGCGTGGAAAAGTGTTTAACTTCCTGATACGGAAGATATGCGGTATGTTAATTGGAAACCCTAAGCACAGCTGCAAATAGAGGTCGAATCGGAAATTACTTTAGGATAAAAACTCTAACTTGAGGCTGTTTTAAGTGTGCAATTTGATGAAGCCATGATTTGCTACTGGGTGAGTACAAGAAAGGGTATTTTTGTGCATTCTGCCCACAGTATACTTGAAGTTGTAATAGATTTTTCAGGTTACTTAGAGTTGTAGGAATGAACGGAGAATACCCAGTTGTTTTGTTCAGCAACTGTTGGCCCAATGTCGATTTAAAGCCTTCTTTATATTCTGCACAAGAATTCTCTATAAAATTGGCCGCAGTTGCGCAGTCAACAGATTTTATTTGAAAAGCGTAGCTGGCCAAGAATTCGTAAATGAAATATATACGCAAGTCAAACAGCACAAACAACCTCCATCCTTTAAACTTTCGACGTTTTTATCCCCGAATAGGACTGTCCGACTGTGCTATATTTTCTGAATAACATGACTTAACTGCTTGGAAGTACAAAGATGCGAATTATCGGCGATAACTCTCGCACACTTGTGAACCTAAGAGCTTTGCAACACGTAGTGTATGGGTAAAAAACGCAATAACATGCAAGTCTGTCGCATTTGAATCCCGTAGTTCTAAAATGGATTTGTTACCGTCTGCTGTTCTGCCGATTTTAATAAACTTGGACCGGCGGTCCAGGTTTTGGGGTCTGGGACCTCAAGGACGCCTTATTCAGGAGATGGGTGTTTCCCGCGGTCAACTTATTGAATGTAGCTTGCGTGGAACCCGACGCGTTACAAATTAGCGGTCAGTGGTCGACTGCAAAGAGCCGGAAGATCAATGGAAGATCAACGACTGATGAACAAGGCAGCATCGACACGAAGTTTCCGTCGGCACTGAAAACTTTAATTAGCCACTTTCCTCACAGACTGTACACGTTTACTAAAAGCTTTTGCGGAATTCTGAGTGAACCCTGAACCTGCTGAGCGATACTCTTACCGAAAAGCCCATAAAATTAAAGCCCATTTTAGAAAGCGAATAATAGTTCTTGTGCAACCATAGTGATGGTACACCCTAAGAGCATTTTACCAAGAAGACAGATAAAACCGAAAAATCTACTCTTGCCAACGGTATGCTGCAGGCATCCGACTTTTTAGTCCAGCCAAGAGTATAAATGTGAGTTCACAACTTTCTAACAAGGCCCCAGATAGGCAGTCTATTTCTCGTTTTTTTAAATTAAACAGGGGCATTTCTCATTGAGGTGCGCTCTGTGGTCTGTTCAGATTTTTATCGTTCGTACAAAGAGATAGAAATGGGACGAAATCCTGCCAACAGCTGCAAATCAGACACGCTGACCTGCCGCCTTTGAATTGCGTAACTTTAACGATGTTTTTAAGATCACGGCCAAGCGGTAGCGGAATTTTGTTTTCTTGAAATTCCGCAGACGCCATTCTGCGTAAGTTGATTTATAACTGGAAACACGAATTTGCAAGTTAGGAAGGATGATTTGACCGCTCGTCTCTACTTCTTCTAAGTGACTCGGGACGTTTCGGGCCGGAACAAAACTCATAGTTTCTCACCGCACACAATATTAATTAGTTTAAAGAAGATCGGTAACAATCGGGAGATGGCACTCAAGAAAATCCGCATAACCAAAGCAGCCTGTCTCAGGGGACAGGTGGTAATAGGGGTTTTATGGGTGGTGGCTGGTCGGGATGTACAGTATTAGCCAACGGAAAGGCTTATTTGAACAGGTGACTGATCAAAGTTTGCCCGCTCTCCGTTCCATTATTACAAAATGGGTCGCCAAAGCAGTATAGTGGTAACGGCTGAGTGGAAGGCGTATAATCGTCTTCCCTCAGAAGGTTACCTATATTTCTCTGTTAACCACTCAAAGAACTTCAAGGACCCTACCACCGGACGGCACACCAATGCCATTGAGGCATACTGGAGTAGACTGACAAGGAAACCCCACGAAGGAGGCCCTGTATGTGGTCGAGCTGTGTGGGCTCACATAGACGAAGTACAGTATCGTCTTTGGTTTGGCCTCAATGCCATGTCTTTGACAGATGCCTGGGAACTGTTCCTGTCCCATCTCGTGCAGACTTATTCTATTTAATAGTGATTTTGTTTTGTAATAAACTGCCATGATGCGAATGTATGCCGTATATTCAGGTGTACGTGTGTAACGATGTGGAAGGTTAGGTAACAGCGACCATCGTCTATGTAACCTCCTGCGATGCTTGTTAGGCCGTCGCGGAAAGCGCAAGTAGCGTGGGAAAGTAGGCTTGCAAGCGCTGTTATAGCCTGAAGGCGTTTGAGATCACTGATAAATGTATTATTTCTAGGTAACGGATTTTTTTGGGTGCCATCTCTCGATTGTTACCAGAAGATCCTTGTATTTACTTACGAAAGGCAAAATTTTCGCATGTAGATTGGGTTGTCTTATTTTCCTGACTTCATTAAAATTGTTCCCTCCCACTTGATAGAATTCAGTAGCCGAGCCACTACCTCCGGTCATGAGCACTTACTTTATTTCTGCAGCCGCTTATGGCATAAACTTCGGATTCAGTTATCCATTTGAACGACAATTAGAGCTTTCTTGATGCCTTTGTTGAAATATGTGCCATGTGAGGTCTGAATCAATTTTGTTGGGAAATGGTTTTTTCGGAAGTTAATAAAAAAACCCTTGGCCTCGCGTCCTGGACATTTACGCTGTCATAAATTTTAACCAAGTCATGAAATTTGAGTTAATGTCTAAGTGCATTTACGTAACTTTATTTCTATTGATAAATGCTGTAAACAGATTTTATACTTTAAGATCCACCTGGCGACTTGTTTAGGGCGCATGTCTATGAGCTGACCTATGCCGAACGAAGGTTTTAACAGTCTTGAGGGTTCTGAAGGCAACAGCGGTGTTTGCAACTCGTCAGTGAACTCTGGGTTACCGGTACGATTTATTTCAAGGTTATCAGAAGGAAATTTAGAGGCTTAACCCGATTCCATACATAACAAACCTGAGTAATCAACATCTCTCTTGCCGGAATCGCTTCATAAATGTGTACAACTGTCCAAGTTGGCAGTAGTCAGTTGTGCAGTTCCCAATCTAAACTCACTAGTTTCCAAATTTCTGACGAAAGCTTAATATTTCCCGCTGAGATGGCATTTTAGCCTGCACAAAATTAATCCACAAATTGAACGTGCATCGAATGAATAATTACACGTCCTTTGTGTAGTACCTGGGCAAATAAGAATGGTCTGGGACCGAAAATGTGATCCTAATTTACGCATGTTTCAACCTCATTGAAGCGAACTCTGACTTTCAAGTTGAGGCAGTAAAATTCCGCTTATACCTGCCCTTTTCCCCGTTTCAGGTGAAAATCTGGTTTCAAAACCGTCGTTATAAGCTGAAACGCCAACTACAGGACAAAAGTCTCGAGCTGGCCACGTACAGTTCCTCTCAGAACTATAACCAAAACATCCGTTATCCCTGCACTGTTGGTCCACATCGTTCAATGACTGCCTACGCCCATGCTGGGGGCGGAGTAGGCACATTACGAAGGTCTAGCGAAACCAGTAGCGGCGAGTCACTGGACTACGGTCACAAAGGCGAGGCCGTCTTCGACCCACACCACTCTAACCGTAAGTGCGGTGACAAATTGTACAATTACCTTCATCTCGGTACGGGCAGTCAGGTAGACGGAACAGGTCGTCGCGACTGCGATCCAACGACAGCGGACGTGCAAAACACGGGCCTTGTTCCCAGGACACCCCGCAGTGAGGGGGAACTGTGGTCCTGCAGAACCCCACAGCACCCCCACTCCCGCCCTCCTCACCCGCCGGCATCCTTCGATGTCGCCTACGGAGGGCCAGCCACTGCGCGTCCAGCCGCCACCACCGCCGGAAAAGTCCCCCCAAATCCCAGTCAGCGGTCGACAGGTGGCGCGCATGTCGACTCCCGAGCCGCTTGGCTCTCTGTGTTCAATCAGTCAGTTACTGCCGGTCATCTCTCGCATTCTGCCCAGTGCAACTGGCCTGTCAGCGGCGATGGGCCGGGGGCTACGCAGTCGTATACGATGCCTCAATATCACCCGAGACAGTCAGGGGAGAATCGCTTTCAGACGGTTCCTTACAGCCAGCCGATGGGATTCTGTGCTAGCGTCCCAATGCCTCAACAGCAGCAGCCTGCAAGAGAATTCTATCCAACGACCCAGTCAACACCTGCAGGGTTTGTGGGCAGCTTTACTTTCCTCGAATCGCCTGATCGTGTCTCGAGTACTGATCCCTCTACGGCGTCCAGGAGCTCGTCCTCTGCATCTCCGCAGGCAGCACCATCGTCCCCGAATGACCAGCAGGGTCTGGAGCGTCGCGGACTGAGTGACTACGCTACAGAATTTCCTCTGCTTGCAGTCTACCAACCCCATGCGACGCACAGATCGCTTGGACTTGAATGCTAAGGCTGAGGAAGGAGATCAAAAAAGAGGAAGAAATGAGGCGATTAATGTATCCATCGGACCCCTATCGAATGTGAGAAGACTAGGGCCCGTTGAAGGAGACGACGTCTTTTGTTTGGTTCCTACTCCACTTGCTGCCGCAATAGGCATCAATACCCCCCCCCCCTCCGCCAGGATAGGCGGGACCACAAAAACTCTTTTCTTACAGACATACGAATCTCTCCTTTGTTTATACTACTACTTCTGAAGATTATTCGTGCACATTAAAATTATCAACGCCTCAGCAGTGCGTCCGGTGACTCATGGACTAGAGAATGACTGGGCATCATCACCCAATGAACTGTTAAACGTAGCACAGGGTTGGCGTCGACTATTCTTCACCGACAGTGTGAGGGAACACGAACGGTCCGCTTTGGTTCAGACTGAAGTTCCTTTAGGCGGTAATAAACCGAAGGACACTCAGTGAGAAAGGGGTTTTTTGACAGATACATAGGAGCCTTGAAGGGCTGGTTCCGTCTACTTTGACATCCACCACCCGGTAATTTCCTCTCCCCAAACCAGTCGGGCCCTGTCTCTGAGGGTTGCGAATGTAATTTTTTGAATTCGTCGCTAATCTTTAAATATCCAGCCTGCAAAGACGCGAGCCGTTTGTCGCTGGCGGTGTGGGGGGGGGGGTGCCGTAAGTGTAGACACGCTAATTGCAAGATTGCAATCTTTTCTAATCTCCCCATCAAGCCAACATGGAATACAATTTCTCATCGTCGCCTGGCTTTACTAGATAAGGACTACTGTTCATACATGATGTACAACTTTTGTAACCCGCAACACATACTGTGCACCAGGGTAAAATTGGCGAGTGGCTATCAAGTATATATAAAGTATTATAGGTGGTTTAACAGGTTTGAATAGTTCAGTTGACCACAGTGCGAAAATGCCAACGGCCTCGGAGGGACTCCAGCCTAGGACAGTGAGGGCAAAGTGCTTCGCGCGTTGGCCGTCATGGATTTGAATCCCACCAATGCCGGTGACTTTTTCACAAATGGGTCAAGTGGATTATCCAAACTTTCCAAAAAACATCTATTTAAATGTGGGTCTGGTAGTCATCTGGTGACATCTAGATTTGATGTTTATGAAATCCTACCAACTGTATCACATGCGGTGTTTCGTTGGGTCGGCGGGTAACTTAGCCTTCATATGATTAACCTCACGACTCTCGGTCGATGCCTCATAGCCCAGGTGATAAGAACTTGAGCTGTCCTTAATTCATACCCTTAATGTCGTTGGTTCAAATCCCATCAAACCAGCAGAGTTTCTCACAAACCTTGCAGCTGTTATTGAATCAGCCGCAGGCCGAAATTACGGATGGACATGAACAGAAGTTCTGGTCAAGGCTGCGCAGTCGCTGAGACCTGTTAACTGACTGGTCGGGTTGGAATATAGCAGAAAAAGTTTGGTCTGCTTCATTAAGAAGTGTTATCTGAAAGAAGCACCTATTTGGCCTGCCCGTAGGAGCAGATAGCTTTCATTTGCCCTATTTGCATCTTTAAAATGATGCTCTAAAACGTTATGCTCTATATTCTGGTGTCGTTTATGGGCTGTAAGAAGAAGCCTTATGTATCTTCTTCGTGGACGGTTGCTTGTTGTTTTTAAGTACAATTTTGTGCGTATCTTTCCATAGCCAGAATTTTTTAGCCGGTGTTTGAAGATTCGTTCTAGGTAGAAGACCTCGATGCAGCATTTGGATGCCCTGTCGTCTGTTATGAGCAAAGAAGCTATCATCGCTTATATCATTTATCTCAGGTAACAAAATCAGTTCTGTTGTGCCTTAACCATTATGCACCCAAACCGGTAAAATCTTGATCGAGATGTTGTTAAATGTAATCACTGAGATGTTGCTCGAGTAAAGAACGATATATCATTAGGCCGCATAATTCCGTGTCGTTTCATATGCGACTGGTTGTTGGCTTTTGGCCGAGTAAACCTTGCTTCGAAATAATCAATTCTTAAATGGCATGCATTTTTTTACTAACTTTCACTACATGCCAAACGTGTCATAGTTAACAGATTATGTGGCAAAAATTAATTTACAATGCTCATTTAGTTTGGACTCGCGATTTAATTCTATCAGGAATTTGGAGGAACAAAGTATATCCGTTTTTAAAAATACTATGAGGATTTTCAGATATTGATCGCAAATATTGATCACGACTCCTGCATGTGTTGCCTCTACAAAGAAACGTGTAGATTAATGCGAGTGTCATGTAGATACAATTCGTAACTTATATTTAATAAACTCTAGAAAAAACGCAACTTGGTGCTTAAAAAGTAAAGGCTTAAGTCGACTTTCTAAAACTGTCATGAATTACCATCATGACCAAAAGTTCAAAAAATTATAATTATCTACAGTAGGTGGGCTAACTCATGAAATGTCAACCGAAATTCCGAAATGCGTTTTCGTTTCCAAAAGATTAATCTAGTAGGGTTGTAAAACCAATCATTGTGCAGCATAACTCTATAATAATTCACTTACCTCAGGATGCCGGTTTTCAAACAAACTTCTTATCGCCTGCAAGCAGGACCTAAACTCTGTAAAAAATGACTACTTATGTAGCATGCATTTTTCTCAATGATTTTCGATTCCCTTAGAAAGTCAATTATATTTCATGGAGAAAAAGCATAGAAATACCCATTCGTCCACTCATTCGGTAGGAAATTACGTCTTTTTTCAATTTTATACTCGAAGGAAGGATATAATTCGGCTTTAAAAAACTTAAGTTATTCCCCAATAATTTTGAACTGGACCTGCAGTCGCACTTGCATTCATGGTTTCCAAATTACAAGCCGTATATTTTCCGCGTACAGAAAACCATACATTTCTTTACGGTATTCAGAGGAAATCATATGAGGCTCATAGAAGTTAACGGTGGCTTAAACCATATTGTTAAGTTTGGAAGCAACACTAGTAAATGCAGAGATATGATGTTTTATGAACGGCCATTTCACAGTATTAAAAAATCTAACAATTATGAACTTTTGAAAACCAAATTATACCCTTGCTTCGAGTATCAAATTGAAAGAAGACGTAATTTCTTACCGAATGAATGGAATAATTAATATTTTTATGCCTATTCTCCATGAAATATAATTGACTTTCTAAGGGAATCGAAAATCATTGAGAAAAATGCATGCTACATAAGTAGTCATTTTTTACTGAGTGTAGGCCCTGTGTGCAGCCGACAAGAAGTTTTTTTGAAAGCCGACATCCTGAGGTAACTGAATTGTTATAGGATTATGCTACACAATGATTGGTTTTACAACCCTACTAAATTAATCTTTTGGAAACGAAAACGCATTTAGGAATTTCGGTTGACATTTCATGAGTTAGCCCACCTACTGTATGTGCCCGCGAACAAGACCT